GATCTGGCTCGACACGAAGGCGAAGACGCAACGTCGAGGCGAACAACAAGCATGGACCATCGACTCGGATCACCGGCTCTGAGGAAGACGAAGACGTCGAAACGTTAGCCGAAAATAAATATATTTATCAACCTCGTGCAAGCTTATCAAGGAAGAATACATATTGATTAGTCACACCGAGGTTTAGGGAAGGTCGGTTTCGAAATATTACTTGTTCTCATAACCAAATCTAGTCTATTTCTGGAAGACAGCGCGCTCCAATTGAATTTTCACGCACAATGACAACATCCGTCGACTTTGATATGAGCGCAGTATTTTTTCAGGTAGTTGCTCCCACGTTCCTTCACATAATTCCTCCATGTTTGCGTACTCTCCATGTACTCTACACCGCCTTTTTCTTATGCTCCGTTAATTGCTTGGTATATCTTCATGTTGAAAGTAAAGTGCTGTGGCGATATCCTTAATATGGTCTCTTGTGCGTTTCCGTTAGGAACGTATTGCCAATTTTTCTTTAGTACTGGAGTGAGATGGTTTTCGGGTTCGTGCAGTCATGAGTTCACAGCGGCTTGCGCTTTGCAACCTCATCCGGCATGGCCAACGATTCGTCTCCTTGCCACACCCCGTGCCGACGAGCGAGCCACACGAAACACCGCCACCAGTTCTTGCGTAAGTTTCTTTGTGTTCGTATAACTTCTGTTTCTTATCTGATCTGAATCTTCCGAAGTTTTCTGTACAATTCAAATCTTATATTGCATATAGGTGCTGTGAAATTTCTGGAAACCAGTAGAAATAACTAGAGTGGCACCGTTCTCGTACTATTTTGAATGTATAGTGGATTGGTTGAAGTCGTTCCTATCAATGAGTGATTACTCTGATCTTTCTTCAAATCTCAACTGTTTTTTATTAACGATGTGAGAATCCCATGCCAGAGATGTCTGCGAGCCTCGTTTTATGCAGAGTGATTCCAGTCGTTTCTCGGATGTTGTACTGCCGCTAATCAATTCCTTCAACAATGGTCCGCCCAATCTACAGTTCTCGACAATCCTAGGGTGCTCACACTGGGTCCCTTCACTCGCGTATTCGAACACCGGGTGGATTTCTGTTCATACGCTTCAACTAGACGGGAATTCTTTGCCGTACTGTATTAATGAAGGACCAAATGTTGTTGAGGTTAGTTGATGTGCACTGTCATCTTCCCTTCTCTTCCGTGTATTCTTTTCCATTTTCTTTTGTCTAGGTAGGTGTTCAAACAGATGATTGTACTACATACTTGTTGAAGACAGTTGATCCTGTTTCCCAAGAGGAAAAGGCAAAATGGGATCTCGAAAACCTTATAGGAGAAGAACTTCTGAAAGTTGGTGAAACACGTGATGCCATTAGAAGGTGCGTTGTAATAACCACTTTTATATTCCACCATACTGCAGTATTATAGATTTCAAGAAGCTGCATCGCACGGAAACGCAAATGCGATCAATAATTTGGCGGAGTGTCTGTTTTCTGGGATAGGAACAATGTGCAATAAAGAAAAGGTAACCCCTGAATCAGTCGTCAGTCTTTCTGCTCATTTATTTTAGTAAAATATTTTGAGCAGTTTGAAAATGTAGGGCTTGTTTAATATTGTCGTATTATCTACACTAACCATTAAAGCACACATTGGATCGATTCCATCCCCCAGGCCCACCAAGCTCTCCTTCCTTCCGTGGTCGGGAAATTGGTACCAGACTTCTCTGGAAGGGTAGCAGCAGTGACTGGATATATCGGCAGGTCACTGCGAGTCATTTTAAAGGCCAGATATGAATTCATCCACCTCCAGCGATGCTTAATGAAGTCGATTTCATGGCGCATCTCTCGGGGACTGATCAACGCCGAGAGCTTTATCCTTTTTTAACCATGAAAGCACAAAAATTGTTCGGAAACTGACTGAACGATGATGTCTGACGTCAGGGATGTTTAGGCATTTTCACTGTGGGAGCAAGCTGTATCACTTGGTCATGTGAATGCGATGTATTCACTTGCTGTTTGTCTCATACGGGCTGATACTGCTGGAGAACCGAAAGGAGACAAGCTTCGTGCGTTCCGATTAATGCGAAAGGCAGCCGTAGAGGGTATGTTTTAATTTTGCGAAATCGTTGAGTATGAAGAAGAGTAGGTCCGATGGACACGGTTCTAGCAAACCACTGTCCGCAAAGCTCTCTAGTTCCTTTCGAAGCTACTTTCTATCACGCATATAAGTGGAGCTCTGCAGTCATAACTAAAGTGTTTCATGAACTTAATTTTGCTGAATTAATATTGGCACATTAGCTACCACGTCTAATTCTAAGTCGACGTTTGAATAAGCTCGTTCGTAAGAGAGCTCTTTGTCTATTTTCCAGTTGTAGAATGAAGCATTCCCAGCCCACGCTCGCCAAAGAATCTATTTTTGATAAGCTATGGAGTGATTACCAAAAACGCAACAAGAAAACTATGCGCCAAAATATTTCCTTATTTTTATTTAACGACCCATTTCCACATCTTCTGTGCGGATCGTAGAATTTCGTGCATTCTATTCGTTTCCTGGTATCCATCACTCGTGTAGGTTCGGTTTCTGCTTGAGGACTGTCGTTTTCGTTATGAACGCCGTCGAAAGTTGCTCCAGTCGATTTTTCTTGGAGCCGTCAGGTAGCCGGATTGGAGCGTTCTCACTTGGATTTCAGAGAGTGAACTGCCTCCAGACAATTCTGGCACCAATTTCGCGACCCCGGACAAATGAGAGGTTTTGCGAGCCCGAGGCGAAGTTGATTCAGCACCAGCGCTTAAATAAACCTCTGAAAAAAAAATGTAGCGTATTTGCTGCATTACGGCGCCATTCTATGAACATAAAGGCCTTTCTGTGATTCAGGAAATGTGCATGCAGCTTTCTACCTAGTTGTCCGGTACATTCGGGACTCCGATGTAGAATCTGCTAAGGAAGTTATTCGCATTGCTGCTCGTGATGAAGGCTATGCCACCGAGATGAGATCGTGGACCAAGAACAATGTTTTAAATGGGAAGTGCTTCCAACTTGTAAAACAGGTGCTTGCAGATTCCCCTTTCTAGAAGCCATGTGTTTGTAATGTGTAGTAAAATAGCGTCTCAACGGGAGTTTTGAACTAATCCGCAAAATTTATGTAGCTGATCCCTTCCTGTGTTCTACACTTTATTTTTGTATTTCCTACAAGATGAAGTTGTTCCTTAACTCACTTTAAGCCATGGAGTAATTAACACTTGTTAGCAGTTCATTTGGCAGGTTTATTCTGCTACTGCCTAGATGACATAGTTTTTGTTAGGTTATTAGAAGATCTATCTTTAAGTTTGCTCATTTCCGAGACATAGTCGTTATATATATGATACGTGTACAAGTTTTTGTTGTTATGCCATGGAAATAACATGGTCGTTGTATAAATATTTGTTTTATGGCTGCGCGGTTTGTTTCACTGGTTAAAAAAGACGATAAAGCTCTTGACGTTGATCAATCGCTGAGTGATGCGCCATGCATCCGACTTGATTAAGCGTCGTTTGGAGGCGATTGAATGCATATCTGGCCTTTCCAACGCGGTGGTCTACCGATGTATCGAGCCAGTGCTGCTATCCTCCCAGACATGTCTGGTAACAATTAAAGACCTCGGAAGGATAGAAGGCTTGATGATCCTGGGGTGTGAGGATCGATCGTTCCCCCGTTGCCGGTATATACATATGTATATATATATATATACATATATATATATGTATACTAGTACCTTGTTTTGTAATTGCAAAACATGGTGTCACCCTCATGCCGTAGTGCGTTATATTTATCCGGTACCAATGCTGTCAGTGGCAGCCCGATATTTGATCAGTGCTGATCGATTGTCGTCCTTTCTTACCTGGCTTATTGGATAAATTCTCTAACGTAAAATGTTTAGATGACCCTCTTGCTCACTACGACACACTTGAACTATGGGACTTAGAAGAATAACTAGTTCCCTGGACGCTTACACATCAGGTGGACGGTAAATATTAAGGTAGGCTTAATATTGGTTGGAATTGTAAATTGAAGAGGGAAACTACTTCAAATAGTTCGCAATAGGATGTTTATGCAAGGTCAGCGATTCACCGATGTCTGTCGATCGGTCATTTTTTGGTTAAATTGAAGGTTATGACCGTCAACTGCTACAATCAGGTTGTCCAACTGATGTGGACGAAGTGGATATTTCCTATGGCTAGTTTAACAGAACTTTTGAGAATGGAGTATACTTTGACACATTTGTTGTGAGAGCGAAAGTAAACATGGATTCGGGATCTGGAATGAATAAAGGTCCATTCGAATGGAGTAATGCAAAAATGGAAAACGTCCTCACAAAAAGAAGAACTGAAACCAGTAGAGGACTTCGGCATGTGGCGAAGACCTCTTCGAAGACGCCATCACATTCGTTTAGCGAGTTTGTTCTATACACTCTTATGTGTATGACCCATCTTTATACATTGTTAGCATCCCGACACTTTCTTCCTTCAGTTCGTTGTCTCTCATCCGTTGTCCACGATGGTCTTCGAATTTGTATCTGCGTCTAGTTGACACTTGAGGACTTTACTTTCTTTACAAATGTTGTTGATTGTTGGTCTGATTGATTCTTCCTGGAATCTTGAAATAGTCCTACTTGAGAGTTTTGAGGACTGCCACAAGGGTTTTCGTCGACAGTTGTGGATCGCTGGAGGTTTTTTTTTCAGGGAAATCTCTTACCAATTTGCAAACAGAATAGGGATAGTAGGCATGGTTGATCGTGGGCGAGATCGGACCAGTAAGCAGACAGGTATTGCACCGCGTCTTCGACCACTGTGCTTCTCGCCCCATGAGCTCTTAAAGAATATTGTTCTAAAAAAGATATCACCCAGTAAATAAAAGTTGAAGTGTTGCTATTTCCAATGCAGCCTCAGCTTACCCAGGTTCACTAGGCCTACTTGTGCTCCCCGGAGCATCCCTTTGACACGTAACTGCTGATGGAATCGATAGAGTAAAAAACTGGCTGAGAGAAAGGCAAAGCAAAGTCATCGGTTGGTGTGATGGAGAGAACGTGAGTGCAATCGCGGGTTCGAAGCCTACAAGAGGGTCCGAGTTTTGCTCATATCTCAGCATCTGATTCTATATCACAACGTACCCTGCCATGATAAAAGTATAGGCACAGAATAGAAGTTAAAACAGAGTATTTTTTCACTGTCCATATCAAAGGCCTTAGATGAAATCGAACCATTTATGCAGGCGGATTTTCGACGGCTATTCTGGTATGATTCGTATCTAGGCTCCTCAACCCTATAATTCTGCTGGAAGTGTCACGTTGATATTTTCCTGGTCTTTGTGAGAACTGTTAGTTGGATAAAGACGGTTCTCAAGGAACTTGATAATGTTGGGAAAGCCACAACACTGCAAATGAAGTGGAAGAGTTAACCATTACCGTTCTAATAGAGAAGGTATCCGGATAGATGGTTTTCTAGTTGTGAACATTGCAACTCTATATGTGGGCATTCACTGAATAATATGCAAATTATTTGAAGGAGATTCTAAAAATAAATCCACAGGGCAACTGAATGAACGCTCACGTTCTCGACTCAACAGTCTCAGTGCTATGTTAAGTTTTAATTTGAGCCTACTACAATTTTTACGGCAGGGTATTATGCGAATTACCCGTTGACGGGTGACTGATGATGAAACTGATCGATAGAACCAGCCGAGAGACGGGCGAAACGAAGGACCCGCAGAGTGTGGTGGTGAACGCGTTAGTCACCGGAAACGATAGTGGCGCTTTCGTTCTCCACCGCAGACACCTGTGGTCCAGAGTTTTCCAAATATCGCAGCGTTGTTTTGGTTGTAAGTCTCAGTGCTATATTTTCCATGTGTCGTTCAGAGATCACTTGAACAATTCCTTTTCAGTACAATAGCCAGATACAACATCAAGCCGTACTTCAGACATTCGACAAATGCCCGTCTTTTACAATCAGGTGTGACGTATATCGAAGGCGAAGCATAGCTGTGTTAGCAATATGAGGATAGCTTTGGATGAGAAGAATAACATAGTATAAGATAAAAGTGTCCTCTAGGGCGATCAACAGGTGGATGCATCTGATACGCATGCAACGGAATGAAAAACACGGGTGTCACCTTATACGAAACAAACGGCCAAATGCGACATTGTGTCGGGCTTAGCCTCCAGAAATTTAGGGGTGCAATTGTGTTGGGAGAACGGCGCTCGTAGCGCGGTGGTCAGAAACACCTTGGAATACACGTGGGGTGACGAACCCCTCACCGAACCCTCCATCCCTCCGGAGTCGGCAAATTGGTACCAGATTTGGCTGGAAGGGTAGCAGCACTGGCTTGATACGTAGAGCGCCGCGAGTCATTGTAAAGCCTAGATATGCATTCAGTCACCTCCAACGGTTCTTAATGAAGTCGAATGCATGACGCATCCTTCAAGGATCGATCAACGCTGAGTGCTTTATTTTTTAACGGTGTTGGGTTAACCGGTTTAGTGAGAGAACATCAAATACCGTGGGCATGTTCCTCTAACTGTTTAACGAAATATATTTTTGACCCTAATAAGGTAGCATCCAAATAGCTTTCGTGAGCCATAAAGAGACTTGAAAACAAAAATGTCACCATCTGAAAATTCACAGTCCCACATCAACATAAGGAGTGGAATTCGACAAGACAGTAGCATCTCGGAAGAATTATTTGTAACCATCCTTGAAAATGTCATGCAAAAATGCTGTAACATTAGTGGTGCAAGTGGCCTACTCTCCGTCCACACCATCTTCGGCTTTTTGAAAACACCGTTCCTATAAAAACAAACAAGACGAACGAATTCTGGCCAACTGCAACAGCGTTAGTGAAAAAATTAGCCTTCGGTTGAACTTCGAGGAGACAGTATTCATGAAGAACAGACTCGCCTAACGACACGAATACCGATTATTTCAGTTAGATCTATGTGAGCTATGTAATCCATATGCTGAAAGATTTAGCTCGAAGGCTTAAGATGATAAAGCAACAAGTTTCGATGGATAATAAAGGCGTCGTTGCTCAGCTGAAGAAAACAGGGAAAGCCTGAATCATTGCCCACCACTGTCTATGATTCTTCATACCTCAATGTATGCATTGGAAACATGGAAGCCATATATGCAGAATGAAACGCCGACCGCCCCACTAAACTTTTTATGTGACCCGCCTTCCACCTGCTGTACACACTCCGGTATTTCTTGCACTAGACGACTCATTCCGCATCCATCACCACGAAAATCTCCAAGCTGTTCTGTGTGCGCTCCGATGCTGTTTGAGCATTTTTCGTCTTCGTTACAAATTCCATTGAATGTTGGTGCAGTCGATTCTCCCCTAACTGCACGGATGACCGCACTAAGGCGTTCCCGTATTGATCTGAACAAGTCCGGCACTGATTTCCTAACCCCGGAGGGTGGGTAGGCAGACTTGGTAAGCTAGGGGCAAGGTCGAAGCAGTTTCGTGTTTGTGATGAAAGGATTTGATACCACAGCGTTGCCTAATTACTGTTAAATTATTAAGTTAAATGAACTCATTGTTGACTACTAGTGATGGTAGGTATTAGGTTCGTACACATGAAATGTCCGATTTTATTGTGTTAATTTTCCTTGTCCTTCTAATGGTTTACTGCCTCATCGTGGCTGGAAGGTGTTCCACGGTGTCGGACTGCAATGTACAGCTGGGGATTCGTCCCTCCCCCCCCAAGGGTCTCCCAAGCTGAGAAGGAGTCCAACGTTTCCATCAGGAAGCCCAGCAAAGAGTAAACCAATACCAGGGCCCAACACCGTCCTGGTATTAAAGTCTCATGATGGCAAAATCTCCCCCTGATCCACAAAGGCTGCGGCTGCCTGTGGTGGTGAAGATTTGGGCCAGAGTTTGGACAGGTTGACCTCGGGATTCCAGGGAACCACAATGGCTTAACCAGCAAATCTCCAAAAAATGGTGATTACGTTGGAGCTCGCACAACTAGTGAGGACGGGCCGATCAAGTATCAAATAGTTTTCTGTCTAATTGTTTAAATAAAAACTTTTTCTGTATGTGTGTTTAATATAAATTTTTGAAGCACAAAGTTTGCTCTTTCCACTGGGGGTGGGTTTTTTCTTCAGGACTTATAGTTTTTAACATTTTCATAGGCTTTAACTTTAATATGAATCAACGTGATATTCGTATCCCTTTTCGTACGAGTGGAAGCGTGGACATAATGCGGCGTCAGAAACTCGAAATATCATCGATTTTGGGGTGAACGCAGTGTTCGTGAATCAACAGTGCGAACATGGTTCCGGAAATTCCGATCTGGTGATTTCGACCTCGAAGTTAAGGAAGGCTAAGGACGTCCCAATGAACTTGATGACGACGAATTGAAGGCACTAGTGGAAGCAAACACGCGAATAACTAACTGTTCGAGAACTTGCAGAACAGCTCGGCGTAAGCATAGGAACAATTTCCACTCACTTGAATCGCATAGGAAAGAGAAAAAACTTGAAAAGTGGGTCCCGCAGATTAAACGATGATCAAAAAAGTCGCTGTTTTGAAGCGTCGTCTGCTCTTATTCTGCGCAACAGAAATGACCCTTTTCTTGGTCGAATTGTGACGTGCGACGAGAAGTGGATTCTGTAGACAACCGGGACCTGCGGTCCGGAGTTTTGTCAATATCTCAGCTTCATTGAAGAAAGCACGTTTTTTTATTCCGGTTGCATAAAATTCTGGAGATCTGGAAGCGATCAATTCATTGAAGGCTTTTTTTGCGTCACCGTGGTTGGTGAGGCATTTCTTGCGCGGAAAGTTGTCAAGGTGTTTGAAGAAGTGAGAGTCGGTATGCGAGGGTCTGATGAATATGGCGGATCAAAGAAAGTTTCGTAATCCAACTTGCTCAACTTCTACAGCTTTGGTTCCGCAACGTGAGGCCAGTCGTTGTCGTGGATTCGTTGGATTTTGTGTTGACTAATGCCGGTCGTTGTTGTTGGAGTTTATGGTGCATTTCGTCGATTTGTTGGCACTGCTTCTTTGCCGTAGTCGTTTCGCCCGGATTCAGAAAGCTGTGATGAATCAGCCCGGCTGCAGACCACCAAACAGTCACCATAACCTTTTCCGGTGCAATGTCGGTCCCAGTTAAGCTGAGGCTTTAGTTATAATCTGGGTTCGTTGCCGATTTGGGTTCCCCAGATCAATCCCGCTGACGGGTGATTGCTGACGGCAAAAGATCGATATAACTAGTTGAGAGACATGCGAAACGAAGGACCCGCATGGTGTGGTGGTGAACGCGTTACTCCCCGGAAAGAGTAATAGCGTGTTCGTTCCCCGCCGCAGACACCTGCGGGCCGGAGTTTTGCCAATATCTCAGCTTCGTTGAAGTTATATTTCGTAATATATCCTGCCATTAAAAAAGAATAGGCAGTAAATAAAGCAATTAAAAACGTGTTTTCTGTTGGGAAAATGTGTTGATTCTTATGGAGCTTGTTCGGACTAATAAAAAGTAGTATGCAAAAGTCATGGTTATTTAAAATTTGCATTTAAAACCGGGCATTTCATATGTTACAGCGTGTTACATATGTTAATATATTCGCATAGCACATGTAGGAGAGAGAGAGAGGAAGAGAGAAAACCTAGTTTTTTGACTGCAGAAAAAGTCAATTACTGAAGACATTAACTCCAAAATGTTGAAAACGAGGTGAGCCAAACATTCGGTCGGTGAGACTTAGCGAAAACCTTCAGAAAGGAGCCGTAAGTGACTAGGTTTTAGAAGATGTTAAGAGCAGAATGAGAGCTCGTCTACTTGATGATCCGATGTATTTAGGAAGACCGTAGACGAAAAATGTGGTATTCTTCATGTCCTTTGGGCGAACAAGACCCAAAAGGCAACTCTGATGAGGAGCTGGGATAAATGGAGGCCTTGCTGATGCTCGTTCAAATCACTCGACCATAAGCAATAAGAATAAGGTATGTGTTATTTTCCAGCATTCCACCCATTTTCGATTACATATATTCAATTTTAACGCGATGTTCTTGATCGCATATCGAAACGCTCAACCGTAAGTCGAAAAGTATTCTTTGTAGAGTTGTCTTTAAGTCTCCCAAATTGATGAGATATGGTGACAACACAAGCTCTGTCTAACACTTAAAGCTTGACTTGATTTTTTTCAAACCATGGGTAGTGAAAAAGACGAACAGCACAGTGGTTTTGTGGTTTTGATGTCGATCATCATGAGCACGGCGATGGCTCGATCCCTCTCCAGGCTCCCCAAACCTCTTATCCCTTCGAAAAAATCACTGTTTGCAATCTAAGTGGGAACGCTCCAGCCGAATTATCTCAGCACTCCAAGGAGAAACGGGCGCACCAGCATTTAACGACATTCAAGATGAAAGGAAAAGTCCTCAAGGAGCAGCCTAAGTCACACGTAAAAGTTGGGAGACGTTCGTAGATCATAGACGCGAAAAAATGAATCGAATGTGGGAAGTGCAGGGATCCGCACAGTAGATTTGAAAGACTAGTCGTATAAAAAGAAAAATGTGTGGATAGGGAACACATTGGCCGGTGTGATAGAGTCTACACATCTCTGTAGACAAAACGGAATGTATCTTCTTCTAAATCGATGAAGTTCTATTTTCCTCAAGCCTATGAAACACATTGATTCCGCTCTTCTTCGCATCCAGACTTGTATTCCGAAGAGGCGAAACGATTGAATAAGCAGGATTCTGCCCAGCGTGAGGTGATCGTGAATCGCTACCTTGCTGGTGTTTAGTGCTCCGCGCTTCTGTTCGAAATTTTGAGTAGACATTATTCTGAGAGACAGTCGTTGAGCTGCTAATGTTAAAAGCGAGATACTCGTCTTCATATTTCATGAACATAGGACAGTCTATCAATCTTGTATGTTCCTACATGTTTTTCTTAATCATGGCTATCTTATGTGTGACTCCGATACTTTTCTTTACGAGTGTCCTCAATTGCTTGCTGGTCGAGCGTTATTATTATTACAAATCTTTATTGTTGCCAACGTTTCGGTGCCATCTCCTTCTCAGGAGTTGCATTAATGCAAGTCTAATGTTCATAGCAGTTTTTCCTTGCGATTTGTTTTCGTATCCGAGTCGAGTTGAATTGAGTGGAAAGACGTACCTCTCCTTTAAATTTTACCGGTCAGTGCCCTTTTATGCAGGACGGCTCCTGCTGTTTGAATCAATTGATCTCATGCCCTCACCTGACAGTAGCCCAAGTACAAGACGGATCTCGGTCGAAAGGCTTTCAAAATTTTTTGTGCTCATGACCTCAGTTCATCCTGTATCAGTCCATCCAGTAGCCCGCATCTAACAAAATATCGGAATCACTTTGATATGTGCCAGCTTCCTCCTGCTTTTTTATTATTTCGGACGGCTACTCCACTTTCTAAAAGTGGATCCGAAAAATATTCGCGGAATCTGACGAGGGTGTATTCTAGGGCATGTGTACTTTCCGTATTTCTAGGCGTTTCGTTTTCATAGAAAAAAGAAAGTATTCAGCTTGGAGGGCGTGTGGAATGTCCACTAATAGGGTGATCGAGAAAAAGATTGAAACATTCCCTGTTCATATTGGAGTTCATCCTCTCTGGACGGCTTCGATCACGCATTCTCAACTCAATACTATCGAAGGTTTGGATGTTTTTTTGCGCAAGTGAAAAGCTTGCATTTCGATCGTTTTGCTCGGTGAGAATAACTCCATTTTGATGACCACTTAGGCCAAATTATCATCATACCGTACACAATTTCGGTATACACTAGTTATACAAGCATTTAAACAGTTAGTAGACTGGAAGACTTCGCTTCAATTATAAGAACCCTCGATGTCCTAGAAGGGACCGATTCGCAAACATATACTTTCCACCAATCCACAAAACCACAGCAGCAGACTGTGGTGACGACCTGAGAGCGCCATTCTTCGGATATCTCAGGTTTAGTGGGAAAATCACGCTCTAGCAGTATTTATCATGTTAACGACAAAATAACAGTGCTTCATTTTGCAACTGGAACCACATATGGACTCACTTCAATGTGTGGGTTTCAAAGACATATGAGATGTGATCACGAGCCATAGAGGTACCTAACCAAGTGGGTAACTAAAGATCTGTTATTCCTGGGGATAAATAATTTCGATATCCGGGCCTCCTAATTGATATGTAGAGCGAAGTGTTGTCAGTGGTGCTAGCAGCGGCTGTACTAGCACATTCATTATTCATTCGAGCATATCGCGGACCTCATTAGAGGAGGGGATCTCCTAACGAAATCTTAGGCTTTTTATTGGCTTTCTGTTGAGTGGCTCACTGAGATTCATTCGATGTTTCCAGAACCTTAGTCGTGACTTTTCGCCATCATGCCACAGGTCTGCTATCATAGATTCTAAACTAACCTTTGTTCTTAACATTTTTCTTTACTGCCTATTCTTTTTAATGGCAGGGTATGTTGCGAAATATAACTTGGTGGTGTGGTGGTGAACGCGTTACTCCCCGGAAAGGACAATAGCGCGTTCGTTCCCCACCGCAGATACCTGTGATCCGGAGTTATGCAAATATCTCAGCATTATAGAAGTTTGTTTGTTCTGTTTTGTTGAACACAAAGCAGGATAGGTAATTTTAACAAGTTAGAGAACAGGAATGACACTAAAGCCTGCTATTCCACAGCCATCCATATTACTACGAATGATTGCAGACTAGATGCGCTTTGGGAACTCTTTTCTTTTAAAAGTTGATCTAATTGATAAGTCCCTGGATTCACTGTTCTACTTCAATGAGCAGAACACGAGATTGGTATTATAGAATTTGTTAGTTCACAATAGCTGGCGTTTCAGCGGTTTCGCTTTAATTTCTGGATCTTTGCAGAAGCTATGTTCACTTGGTCATTGATCTTTGCTTGGCTTTTTAATGAAGCTGCATGAAATACATATAATATCAACTTTACCCACTATGTGACGGAATTAAAAACTAAAGAATTAAATTGCGCTATGGCTAATGTTTAGTAGGTAATTCTCTTCTCCTACTAGAACCCTTGTTTCCCACATGTGATTGTCGAAAGCTCCGTTGGAAGAAATGCGAAAACCACAGCTGATTGACAGACTCACACTGGCCTGCTGCAGAGCTTACAAAACTAGATGTAAATGGCTTTTAGTATATTCACTGATTATAGTATATAAAAGAAGATGCGTAGCTATTTGAACCTAGAAAACAAAACCCGCTTCATATTAGTCTAATTAGGAAGTAAAGGAATTCATCTCAAAGTTGAAGCAATATGGCCCAAACTACATAACGCTGCTGGTACGACACCGTCCCACGCCTACCAATCCCATAGAGTCGGGAAATTGATACTAGATTTGCCTGGGACAGGTTCACTCCCTCTAATCCACGTGGAAATGCTCTGTAACGGATATCCAAGGACTGCAAGGAGAATCGACTCAATCAATGACATTCGTGACGAAAACGCTAACATCTTCAAGCAGCAGCCAAATTCAACCGCAAAAAGTTCAAAGACCTTCTTGCGCGGTTAACGCGAGGAAACTAATCGAATTCGAGAATTGCTGGGATCAAGCACAGTGTGATACATGTGATGTCGGATCTTGTGAGAATAATAATTATAGTCACAACCACAACGTTGCTGAGATATTTGCAAAACTCTGGACCGCAGGTGTTTATGGTGGAGAACGAACGCGCTATTATCCTTTCCGGGGAGTAACGCGTTCATCACCACACCATGCGGGTCCTTTGTTTCGCACGTCTCTCAGCTATTTCTATCGATCTTTTTGCCACAGCAATCACCCGTCAGCGGGGTTGATCTGGGGAGCGCAAATCGGCATAGAACCCAGTTAAGCTATGGCTGTAGTTGAAATCACAATGTTTAACGTTTTGTTTTCTGCCTTCTATAATTTTCNGACGTCGAAGCGTTAGCCGAAAATAAATATATTTATCAACCTCGTGCAAGCTTATCAAGAATGAATACGTATTGATTAGTCACACCGAGGTTTAGGGAAGGTCGGTTTCGAGATATCTCAGCAACGTTGTGACTATAATGTTTAACGTTTTGTTTTCTGCCTTCTATAATTTTCATGGCAGGTTACTAAGCGAAATACAACCACAACGTTGCTGAGATATTTGCAAAACTCTGGACCGCAGGTGCGGTATATATCTCAGGTGCGGCAAATATCTCAGCAACGTTGTGGTTGTATTTCGCTTAGTAACCTGCCACGAAAATTATAGAAGGCAGAAAACAAAACGT